TCTTATTTTAAATAGTTGGGCATGTGATCATACAAATCAATTTGCCTTGGGACTAAAGTTTAGTTAGCGAGTGTATTAACTTTCACACTGCTGTAACACAATGCCAGATACCCACAATGTAAAGAGGAGAAGTTTCCAAGCTTGTGGTTTCTGAGGACTCAGTCCATGGTAAACTGGCTTTAAAGCAGAAACGTGATGGTGGGAGGGTGTGATGCAGCAGAGCTGCCTAGGTGGTAGCACCCCAAAGAAGGAGTGAGGGACCTAACATAGTACCAAGGTCACATTTTGATCCACCCAGACCTACATTCCCTATGATATACTCCAGGTCTACCAACCCTGCAGGCAGATCCCAAAGCCAATCAGGTTGACCATGACAGTGTGTTTAAAAATAAACTACAGGCCCTCTTCTTCTACTTTATGTTGAATAAAATAAAATTGTCCTGGAACCTTCCTCATAAAGAATCACAAAATGTACATGGCTTTTGAAAGACATAGAGCTGAAATTGACTCCTCACTCAGCCAGCCATTCTCTTTGCGATCTTAGCAGAGTTACCTAATCTTTCTAAAAACATTTTCTTCTCTGTGCAGTGGTTATAGTGGTGCTTTTTGGGAGAATTAATTGAAATAGCTAGAAAGAAAGGTCTAACATTCTACTAAATGCTAGATATTAAATCAACATAAATGTGCTTTTCTTTTTCTTCTACTTTCACCAGAGGGAATTGTTTTGGTTTTGCTTTTGGTAAATGTCCCAAAGAATCATCACGGTGCATAAATGATGATTCTTAGGCTTAGAGTGGTTTTTGAAAGACAATAAAACAATGGCTGAGTATTATTTGAGAAATATTTTGAACAGTTCTTTGAGGCAGAGAAACAGCTGAGTGGGGTCCCATTGTTTGCAAGAGTTGGAATCATATTTTTCTTAACATATGTAAGCTATTATTAAGTGTGCTACGAAAGCATTGAGTTAAACACACAATTAGATAATGAACTCATGACAAATTTAGAGATCAGCTCAAGTCGTAGTTCACAGTAATGTTTGCATATAGTACTGTACTATCCAAGGAAAGAAATAGAGTCTCACATGCCAACCAAATAAATTGGAAATTTTCAAATGAAAGAACATTCCAGATTTGTTTTATTTCCTATAAGGGGACATTTTTGTCAAGTTAGTTTCTTCAGTATAACCTGAATTCTGAATTCTGTAATATAAATGCCAGTTAGAACCTGGAACTGTCCCTGGGGTGTTTCTTATGATTTTGCTTTTCTGCTAAATCATGTTAAAAACAAAAGACTTCTAAAGGCTAGGCTGCTGGGTTTTGTTCTGGGTAGTTCACTTATTCTATGTAAACCTTAGGTCATTGTCACAGTTGAAGCCATTGCAAGTTGTTACAGCAGTGACGGAAGGTTGGTCTTCCCTGTGGTCCTTCTCCTCACAGAATCCCTCCACCAAGAGTCCCCCCGATGAACGTCCTCTCTGCAGTGGTCACTGAAGCTTTTGGAGTTGCTCTTGTCGGCTACGTGGCCTCACTGGCTCTTGCACAAGGGTCGGCCAAAAAATTCAAATATTCAGTGGATGACAACCAGGTGCAGTGTGCTGCAGCCCCTCTTCACTCCTGTCCTGTCATTGTCCCATGTGCTTTCAGATCTCGAAGCAGTGAATCTTTGAAAAATATGGCTTTCCTAACTGCATGGCAAAAATGGGGAGAATGAAACACATCAGTTTGTAGGACTTTTTTTTTGTTTGTTTTTAAAAGAAAGACAGGTGTTCTTTGGATTGATTTTAGAGGAGAAGGAATTCAAATAAATTTTCATTGCATGCTCACTTCAGAAATTATGGATTGCAGCTTAGAAATTAGTTTTATTTTTCTTATTAAGCTACTAAAGACATGAAGCTATAGTGTTATGAAAGTACACCAGATCATATTGTTTTTCTCCCTGAAATAGTTTTGCCAGTTTCTTGCTTCAAGCCTTGTGGCCCACTGAACTGCAGTGTGAAGAGAAACTACAGTGTGGTAGCTATGGTTTATTTCATTTTATTTTTTATTTTTATTTTTGGCAGAACCGGGGATTGAACTCAGGCCCTTGCACTTGCCAGGCAAGCGCTTATTCTACTGAGCTAACTCCCTGGCTCCTCAGTGTGGTAGTTACGATCGCTTCACTGACTGGGTACAAATCTCACTCGGATACTAGCTGGCCTTGATGCCCTCTGTGCCTGTTTTCTCATTTGTAAAGAACCGATGTATTCATTCTGTTCATTACATTGAGTCGTGTTATGTCCCAGCCCTGGCTGAGGCACAAGGGAACACTGGTAAGCAGCGCAAACACTGTCTTTCTTCCTCTTGACATGTCTCAGTGGCTTCCCATTAGAGTCAGATAGCAGCGTCATTGTCATGGCTGAGAAGGCTCCACACGTCAGCCGCTCTCTCACTTGTGCTCTGGCTTTGTTTCCCTTCTGTACCCTGCGCTGGGTGCACGTACGCGGTCGTATTTTTCCCTTGCATTCACATTTGTGCTTCTTCCCTTTCCCAGGGACTCTATCCTCTCAGATATATCTGCTCATCTCCTTTATTCAAATGTTTCTTTCTTAGGGGTGCCTTTGGCAATCTAAAGTTGCCAATTCCCCATTTCCTCTGTTCTCCTCTGCTTTACTTTGCATGTACATTTTGTTTGCTGTTTGCAGCAGATCCGCAGATGAGGGGGAACAGGGATATTTCTTTGTGTTTGCTGACAGCAGAAGCCGGTAAACTGTTAGGAAACTTTTTAATAGCTGAGGTAAGATGTGATGCCTTAGACCAGAGTGTAGCGATGGAGGGTGTGAGGGGTGAGTGAGTTCTGAACTGGATGTGGATGCCAGGGGGCAAAGGCAGCACCAGAGCCAAGAAAAAAGTCTAATGCTCCTAGCCTAAGCAGCTGGAACTTGAGAGTGCCACAGTGGAGTGACAGAGACCCGTAGCTCGGGTTCATGAGGTTGAAAAGCTGTTAATCATAAAGTCCTGAAACTAAATATGTGGCTGTGTGATTCTGAAGTCCTGACAAGTGGCCTATGCGTCAGTACAAATTTGAGAGTTGTCAACATAGAGTTGGATAGCTACAGTGTACAGAAGAGAAGAGAACTAGCCCTATATCTGAAGTTTGTTAGATAAAACAACTACAAAGGAAGTCAGACGGGGTGGCCAGCAAGGGAGGGGGCATTAGAAGAGTCTGAGGTGCTTGAAGCTAAGCGAAGGAGGCTTTAAGGATTGAATAACTAGCAACTGTGTCTTAGACCAGGGAAGATAAGAGCTAGGCATAGGATGGTGCGCAGTGGAGGTCATTAGTAAAGTGGCCAGAATAAAAGCTCGATTGGAGGGACTTAGAAGACAGAAGAGGACTTGGACACCGACAGCATAAATATTTAGTGTTTACTTATAGAGTACTATGAGTATTGGAGAAATATAGTGTTTAGAACAGTTTCTGGCTTATTATAAGCACTCAGGAAAAGTTTACTATTTCCCCTTTAATTGTTAAATCTCCACTGCTGAGAGCAGAAGTTGAGTGCCCACAAGCGCCAGTCTTTCCCAAGCTGTATTGCGGAAGCGAAGGGTCCACTGTGACTAAGGAGTGTTATGTTCTCCTGTTATCAATCTTGCAGGAGCTTTTGGCCCATGGCCTCAGCAACGTGATTCCTTCATTTTTCTTCTGTATCCCAAGTGCGGCTGCCATGGGAAGGACCGCTGGACTGTACAGCACGGGAGCAAAGACACAGGTAAGTCGGCTGCTCAGCAGGGACAGACGGACAGCACAGCCTCCTGCTCACCCCGGGAGAGTAGGAGGAGTGTAGCTTTCTGTAAAGCTCTGAAAACCATGCAACTTTTTTACAGTTTTCTAAGTACTTTATAGATCTCTCTCTCTCTCTCTCTCTCTCTCTCTCTCTCTCTCTCTCTTTCCCCATCTCCCTCTTTCTCTCTCTGTCTCTCTGTCTCTCTGTCTCTCTCTGTCTCTCTGTCTCTCTCTCTCTCTCTCCATCTCCCTCTTTCTCTCTCTGTCTCTCTGTGTCTCCCTTTCTCTCTCTCTGTCTCTGTCTCTGTCTCTGTTTGTCTTTTTGTCTCTCTCTCTCTCTCTCTCTCTCTCTCTCTCTCTCTCTCTCTCTCTCTGTCTCTCTCTCTCTCCCTCTCTCTCTCCACCTCCCCTGCCCCAATTTCTCTCTTCTTTCCTTCCTACAAATGGCCCTTCCAGAGACTAGGTGATCCTGAGTGACTCATTCAAAGAGCAAAGCTAATTCCACACAAATGGCCCTTTCATTCTTAAAACTTTGAAACCAAAGCTCCCTCTAGTGGTGCCTATGATTTTTTCCCATGAATTATATAGTCAAGGAATTTTATTCACTTCCAGCAATAAAATGAATTCATTTATATGCAAAACCGATCCTTGTTACTGAAATTTCTGCCTAGAGAGATCTACAAGTGTGTGAATGTGGCATCCGTGCCTGTGAGCATCTTAGGATAAAGAACCATTTCTTACGTGTTCCTGGGAATCCACATTAGTTTCCTGTTTACTGAAATCCTACCTTACTCCAGACACTGTACTGGACACTGGTGATATAATGACCACGACAGTGAAGATGGTTCTGTTGAGGGCAGCGGCAGTGGTGCTGGGAACAATACTGGGCTCTGTGCCAGGCATTTATGTTGTAGTTTTATGTAAGTGAACCCATTTAATCCTTCAGAAAATGCGACGAAAGAGACATCATATCCTAGCCATATCCAGAGACATTGCATCACTAGAACACCGAACCTGACGCCCACAACTTGAAGGAGTGCGATTCATTGATTGCGTTCCCTGGGCTGCCAGCTCCGCAGCAGAAATGGCACGGTGGATGGGGCTGGCTGGACAGCTACTCACGCCACTGTGGCCAGAAAGCAGAAAAGGAAGCGGGGAGCTAAGGAGAAGAACATAGCTGTCTGGGTCAGAGGCTCGGTGACGCCCTCCTGCAGTGAGATCCACTTCCCAGCAGGCAGTCACCTGCAGCACGCTGTACTGCCATGTCCTTCCCAACCCCCACCTCTGCGCACAGGAGGAACCGGGGGCCATTCCAGTGTACACCTTATCACATAATGCCATCCTCAGTTTCTGCGTGGGAAAGTTGAGGGAAGGAAGGTTGAAAGAACCTAAACAGGTGTCGCAGCTCTAAGTAGTAGAGCTAGAATTGGCATCCTGGGTGACTTACTCCCAACCTTGCGCTCCTGCCCACTATTCCCTACTAGGAAATTCATGTGAGTCTTACAGAAATTAACACTAATAGTTATTCATTATTAAAACATGTGTTGTTTAAAATAGGATAAAATAGGAATGGGAGCTTCTAAAATAACTTACGTAGTAATTCAGACATATATTAGGGGACTATGCCATATTAACTGCTTTTTTAGAAGCTTATGAGAATACACCTGAAAAGCATATGGTTTGTGACCGGAGGAGCAAATGGGAAGAGAAATATGTATAAGATGACACCAGAAGGTGGCACCAGCATGTGACATGTCACATGAATTTCCTAGTACGGAATAGTGGAGCATGTGACTGCTCCATCAACTAGAAGGGAAGCAGCAACCCATTTTGAGTTCATTATCATTTGTCAAATAATCAGCTAACGTGAGATCCTTACACAAGCTTTGTTTACACAGCACCAGGTAATTTGGCAGACTGTTTTAATTAGTGATTTCAGGAGAAGGTGCATCACGTACTCTGGCATAAGCTTCTTGGTCATTAGACTTATTTACTTCCTTGGTGTACGTTAGAAATGCAGTAGGATAAAGTTCACCTTGGGACTTTGGTAAGTTGCTACAAACATGAAGTTTATTATTTTGATGCCATTGCCTCCTTTGCCTTGTCCCTCATCATCTTTCTTATCACTGATCATCTGCTTTCTGCCTCCCTATGCTCTCAGATTTTTTTAGTATTCATATAAGAGAGAGAGAGTGTTACATTTAACTTCCTGAGCCTGGCTTATTTCAGTTAGCATGATTGCTGGTGCCATCCGTATTCCTGCAAATGGTACAACTGTCTTCTTTATAGCTCAGTAATATTCCATTGTGGAGGTATGCCATGTTTTCTTTAGCTGTCTGTTGAGAGACATTCAGGTCATTTCCTTAGCTTAGCTATTATGAATTATGCCTTAATACACACATTAAGAAAGAATGACTGTACTGTGAAAGTTTGACTGTAGTGTTCTATATATATTAGGGTAACGTACTAAAGAGTGACATAGCTGGGTCAAATGGTGTTTCTGTTTTAGTGTTTTGGAAAATCTCCACACTGATTTCTTTTCTTAATTTTTAAATAATCTTTTATTCATTTATGTGTTTGGTACAGGGTCCCTCTACACAGCTCAGACTCATAGTGATCCTCCTGTCTCAACCTCCCCAGCACTGAGATTACAGACATGTGCCACCACGCTGGGTTTTGATGGCTGGCATGGTGGGCTTAGGGTTCTGGGGCTGGCACGGCATGCAGTACCAGGGATCAAATTGATGTCTTTGAGCTTGCCAATCAGGCACTTAGACCCTCGAGCTATCTCCCTGGCCCTCCACACTAATTTCTTTAGAGGTTATACTAGTTGTTGCCAGGTTTTCACACTAGACCCCTCACCCAGCTAGGAGAGAAAACCTTCCCAAATAGATCTGCTATTCACGCCTTCCAGAGCTTTGTATTTAGTAGGAAGTCAGAAGCTGGCTTCTCACAGCCCTTCCACTTAGCTCAACCAGCCCGCAGCTGTCCCACACAACTCAACCTGCAGACAGCTGATTCCACAAACAACCACAAGGGACACGTTGTGCTTGCCAGCAGTCCCTGTACCCACCCCTGCCTTATTTTTCACTGAGACCCAGACCCCCTACTCAGAGACCCAAGATGTTGCCTTTTGACAGCCCCCCCCCACTTACATATAAAACACATTCTCACTAGCTCAGGCCAGTGTTCTTGTCTTTGGCCAATTGCACCCAGATCTGCAATAAAGTCCTTGCACATTGCTTAAACTCTGCCTGTCTCAGTGGTCTCAACTGTGCCTGGTTTACCATAGTGGTTTCTATTCCTCTCAGTAGTCTAGAAAATTTCTTACCAATATCTTCACCAGTGTTATTCTTTGCCTTTTCTTTCTCCTTCTTTGGCAACGGTAGGGACTAAACTCAGGATCTTGACACTGAACTACATTCCCAGTCCTTTAATATAGATATAGATATAGATATATAGATAGATATAGATATAGATATAGATATAGATATAGATATAGATAGAGTTTCTTTTTTTTATCTATCTATATCTATATCCATCTATCTATCTATCTATCTATCTATCTATCTATCTATCTATCTATCTAATTTTGAGACAGGATCTTCCTAAGACACATAGTTGCCTAGTTGGATATGCAATTCTCCTGCCTCAGCCTCCCAGAGTGCTGGGACTCCAGGTGATGCCACCATACCCAGCTTGTGTTTTGGATTGTTGATGATAGCTCTTATGACTGGAATGAGATGGAATTTAAGTGTAGTTTTGATTTCCATTTCCCTAATGGCTAAAGATAGTGGACATTTTACATACCTTCATTGGCTATTTATACTTCAATAGTATAATAGTAAATAGTCAATTTATTTGCTCATTTACAGGATTAGAGTTAATTTTTGAGATCTTTATATATTCCTTTTCCGTCAGAAGAGTAGCTAGCAAGGATTTTCTTTCATTCTGTGCATTCTTTATTCTATTGTGTTCTGTTTTGTGCAGCTTTTTAATTTGATGTAGTTCCATTTTGTGATTCTTGCTACTATTTCCTATGCTATTGACATCTTCTTCCAGAAGTTTCTGCCCATCCTTGTGGCTTAAGTGTTGGTCTGTGTCTATTTCTAGCACTTGCAGTTCTGGTCTTACACCTACATAGGTCTCTGCTTCACTTTGAAATTGAATTTATGCAAGGTGAGAGATAGGGATCTAGTTTCAATCTTCTGCATGTTGATTTTCAATTTTCTCAGTCCATTTCTTAAAAAGGATTTTATCCAAACTTTGCTTTTGATTCCTTCATCAAGAAAGAGATGTCTTTAGTTTTGTAAGTTTGTTTCTGTGTGTTCATTCCATTTCATTGTCTACATGGATTGTTCACGGGTCTGTTTTTTTCCTTTAATATATCAAGCTGCTTTTGTTACTGGGGTGGCAAACATTCTTTCAAACTGCACCCTTCAATATTTGTGATATAAATTTGAAAGCTTAAATCTTGAGTGTATTTAAATGCCATCTTTTATTCTGAAGAATATTTATATATTCTTCGATTCTATATTAGTCTCTATCTTGTTTCTCATGAATGTGACTATGTTAAGTTTCTTTTTTTTTTCACATTGAGGCTCAATAAAAACAGTGAAAGGTTAAGATGTGTTCTAGAGCCTGCCTGGACTGCTGGCTCCACCGCTGCTCACTGGGCGGCTCCGCACAAATAACATAACCTCTCTAGCTGAAATGGTAAAATACAGAATATAAGGGTTAAATAAATTAATTATGGTGTACTTATTGTGTGCAGTGTCCAAAGACTAGAGAAACACTCTTTAGGTGTTAATGATGATCATTGATTATTTATTGCTGGATTTTTTTAAAGTAATAAGATATTTTCAATAACTTTTCTTTGTCATTTGGTATTAAATGTCCTGCTTTGATGGAATAGAACAAAATAGTTTCATAGCTCTAGTCCCATCCCCCCCACCCCTGCCAAGTTGCACAGGCATCTTGACCAAT